ATTATATAAGTGAATATCAACCAACCATCAGAGTTAAAGGCTATGACAGCTATAATTTGAGAACAGATTTCAGAAAGGAGTCACAATAAATCCGAATGACAGAATAATGGGCAAAGAAAACTGCGGGAAAACAAAGGCAAGAAAAACCTACGAAAAAAATGATTCATGACGCCTAGGCATTTGATCGAACAGGTGGGGAGCTTCGTCCAATTGCCCATTGATCACTCATAACCTGAAGAAAGGGCTCCGGAGAATGACCACGAAATTGGGGTTCCCAATGTTTCTCCACGCTATTAGAGATGCGCTAACCTTGGGATGCTTTACTCCTAACCCCACAAGGTTCCGAGATGGAGCACAACCTGAGTCTCGGTCAAGAACGGCGATTTTTGTGTTTTCACACGGCGCACGATTCCACCATCAGATTTCCTTCGACTTCGTGACGAAGGACATAGCATATGATCATCAGCCGAAATCATGCCACCAGGCATTTGAATTGTGAGTGATCTCTGATGAGCTGATGAGTGATATCTGACGGAAGCTTTTGAGGAGGAGTGAAATCTGATGGGAAACCAGAATCGTGGCCTTGTGGGGTTTTTTTTTGTGCCTTGATTAATCTTTAATTTTGTTTTTTGGGTTTTTAGTTTAATGGATTTTGGTTTTGTGTGATTAAGTTTCTCACCCCGATTAATCGGTTAAATAATTAAACATGGTTCGAGTTGGGTTGTTTTAGGATTGGGTTAATAAAAGGACACTTGGCAAGTTTATGAGGGGTGGGATAGGGTGTGAGACAGGGTTGTGGTACAGAGGATCCGTTGCGCCTCCCGGCTCTGCCCGACCTACATTCTACAAACTCAACTGCTTGAACTTTATGAGTTTTTTTCCCTATTCGAGTTTTCCTATTTTTTCCCTCCCGTATCCCCGCATCGCCCATTCCTGACAGAGAAGGTGTTGCAAGCGTCCCAAAGTAAACAATTCTAGAACCTTCGGTTGCCGTTTATTTCAGTGAGAAGTACTACAAGCATTTTCACATGAAACAACTACCACTTTTTAGTAGTAAAAATACGTTATTTAAATGGTTATAATTAACAATTAGCATATAGCCTACAAATGTTCAACTCACACATTATTTGATACAACATTTAATTCTATCAATAATAGAAAATTCTGTAGCAGTCCATTTGGATTAATTAAGGTGCATAGGTGGATTTGATGTGAAATCCTTATCCAAAACCCTTTCAACAAATGCAAATATTGTTTGGGTAACTTAGGGCATCCACAATTGAATGTGATAGATACACCCAACCATTATACTCTGTCCATAACTAGAGTGGGAGTATAGTGAAAGTGTAATAGTAATGATGTGTATCATGGCCATTACATGCATAATAGACTGGTTGTGGATTTCATTTGTCATTTATGGATTCCATTTGCTAGTTGTGATTTTGAAGACCTTGAGTTATCGTCTGTAAGACAGAATTTTTGATGTTGGACATCATGTTAATCTAGCTTTGACAACATGTTAAGCCCTCATTTTGGGGCTAGGGTACTTTTGATTAAAAAAAAAAAGGTAATTTTGGATGTTAAAGTATTTTTTAGGTATTTGGTGAATGTCATTCCATAAAATCAAGAAGTGAGTTTTTGGTATTAAAAAACACTTTTAACAAAAACTCAAATTTGATCCTTTTAGAGTAAATTTTGTTGTTTAAAAAATAAAACATTAAATTTAACCATTTTGTCTTGCATTATGAACTAAATAAATGGATAAATACATTTTAAAATTTTCAAATTACATATTATTCAATACAATAAGTACTTATTGAATTATGTATCCAAATAACATATTTAAAAAAAATTTAAACACTTAATAAGTACTTTTATCAAAAGTTCTATCGATGAAATACTTTTCAATAAATTACCACAACTCCAAATGGACCCAAGTGCCATCTTCAAAGAAGAGATAGACTTCACACCACAATGGTTGTGGTTTCCTCCAACTTCAAATGTGTAAAATAAATAGGAAAATTCATGTTTTTTTTTTCCAAACGATAACATAGGAAAATTCATGTTCAATGCCTCAATTTTCTAAAAATTTTAAATGAATTCATCTCTTTATTTAGTTCATAAAATATAGTAAAATGATTAAATTTAATATTTTTTTTAAAAAAAATACAAAATCCATTTTACTCTTTGTTGATGGCTATATATATCTCATTTATGAAAAATTACAGTCATTGGACATGTTCAAAATTTTTAACACCGAAGTTGAGAACCAACTCAATAAAAGAATCAAAATCATCAGATCTGATCATAGTGGTGAGTGCTATGGTAGATATAACGGTTCAAGTGAATAACGCCCAGGACCATTTTGCTAAATATTTGAAGAATGCGGTATCATCCCACAATATACTATGTCAGATTTACCCACTATTAATGGTGTTGCAGAAAGAAGAAATAGAATGTTTAAGAACATGGTAAGGAGTATGATATGTCATTCTACGTTATCAGAATCACTTTGGAAGAAACACTTAAGACTACAACATATATCCTTAACAGAGTTCCAATTAAAGTAACTATTAAAATCCTTTATGAGTTTTGAAAAAATAAAAAGTCTAGTTGAAGCGTTTACATATTTGAAAATGTCCAACTAAGGTAAGGCCTTATAGGCCAAATGAAAAGAAATTGGATTCAAGGATGATTAGTTGTTATTTTATTAGATATTCTGAAAGATTCAGGGATTACAAATTTTATGATCTTATGAATAAATCGAATTTTGAGACTAAAAATGCTTGATTCTTTGAAAATGTCGAATTTAGAGGAGAAGATACAGTTAGAAACCATGTCTTTGAAGAGAACTATGTTAATATTCTCACAAGTGTTATTGATCTTGTTCAGGATCCTATTCCTGACATTGATCATGACACAACAAATCAAGATAATGTCAAAGAACAAAATTTTTTTTTCAAAAGTCGCACCGGTGCGATTAATTGGTGAATTGGGGAGTTAATCTCAAACTAGTAATAAGAGAAACTATCTTGGGAGTTTAGTAATTAAGAACAAGAAATAAGAGAAAAACTAGTGAGTGCATGCACTATTTGCAACTATTCCTAGTTAACGTCTTAAACAACTAAAATGTCAACTTTCATTTCATTTCAAATCATCATCCAAGTCTTCATCTTCCCTTCTTCTCTTTTTCCTTGGCCGAATCTTAGACTACAAAAGAGGGAAGAAAAAACTCCTTCTCCAACTACAAAATTTTGCTAAAAAATCTCCCTAATCTTCACTCACCCTTGAAAGTTGTTCAAGTTTGAAGAAAGATTTTGTCTTGTGGTGGTTCTTGGTGGATTTGGTGGTGCAAAACTTGGACTTAGGTAGGCTTGAAGAAGTTTGGAAGAGGTAATTAACTCTACTCTACTTGATCTTTTATTCCATAAAAGAATTAGTAGTAGATGTTGGTTGCTATGAAAGGATCTCTTGAACCCTAAAAAAATTTAGGTTAGATGATTTGAGAATCTTTCATGTTTTATGATGAAAGTTATGGTAGATTTTGATGCTATAAGACTTGATATGTGTTGGTTTGTGTTTATTGTGGAAATCTCATACATTGGATGAATATTGGATGTGATTTGTCGAAGGACAAAGTTCTGAAAATTTTCCCTGTGTGCTGGCCGATCTGATCAGCTGGTTTCCAGCCCTGATTTTTGAATTTTGGGGTGAAATCTAACTCAATAATCTTTGTTAGATGTTAATCTATGAATGTGTGAGTGGGTTGAGTAAAAATTTTGGACTTAAGAAGTCGAAAGAGAAGAGTTCTTGCTGCCCGCGGGTTTTTCTGAAAAATTTTCGCTGGTCTTGCTGACCAGCTAGAAAAATCTCGATATTTTGGTGTAGAAATCCAAATCGAGTTCCATTTGTGGCGTTTGAAGCTAGACATAGAATTCTTTCAACCTTGTAAGTTTGAGATTTTTACTCAGTTTCTACAAGCGCCAGAAATTTCACAAAAATGACTGAAATTCAAACCTGATTTGCTTTTAAACTTGATAAAGCTATAACTTGAGGGCCAAATTTGACTTACTTGTGGATTGAATCTTATAAAAGTTCTCCCAGACAATTGTAGTGTTTTGAATCTCGTTTCCAACGGTATAAAGTTTGTATTTTTGGACTTATGAAACTTAAAATATGATTTTTCAATTAGCATCGCGCAAAGCTGAATTTTTTTGTTTAAAACAAAAATGTTCTTTTAAGGACTTCCAGCTTTCCTATGGAATATTCGTATTCTTTTCAAAAAAAAAAAAAAAAAAAGAATCCATATTCGTAAAATCGGAATTTTAAGAGCCCTCAAATGTTCTTTTAGTCCATCCACTTTCGCAAAAATGCATTAGTTAAAGCTATGAAAAAATTGCTCAAGTCATGCGTAGTTTTTCAAATTGAAAATGTTACATTTTAGTCCCTTACATAATTAAAGCTTTTATTTAATGGGTGTATTTTCTCAATCTAAGGCCTTGTTTAATAACTTAATTCAACACTTAAAATTAATGTATTCAGATCGTTTGACAACAAAAAATTGAACATCTGAATTAATTAAATGACATTGAATTTCTTAGGCAAAATTTGCTTTCAAAATTATGTGATAATCTATTCATTTATCACTGAATGTGATATGCACTCAAATGTATTAGATTTAATACTTAATAATTTTATAATTTGATAGATTCATACTTCAGATTTCAAATTTCAAACTTCAATTTTCAGACTTCAGTTTTATCAAACGCATCCTAAATTAAAGTAGTTCAAAAAATTGGATTCGACCTCCAAAATAAAAGGCACAGAAGGTAAAAGTTCGGATGAAGAAAACATTTTTTCAAATTTAAGGGACTAATGTCAGAGCATATAACCAAAAACGAGAAAAACAAATAAATAAAAAGTTGATATCCTTGTGACGACGTCGTATTTACTATTCCAAAACCCTTGAACTAAAACCCTTTTTTCCTTGCGCTTCTTCCTCACTTGCACTCCGAACTCTGCATTAAACAAATTTTTTTTTTTTGCAAACTACTACTATTGATTCAGTTATCAAAATGCTTCGTCCGAGAAATTTCTTCATCTCTTCAGCCTCCGCATTCTTCCGTCACCGTCACGGCCACCTTCTTCCTTCACAGCAACGATGGATCTCCTCCACGTCGCAGCTCCATTTCTCGTGGATGGACAAGATCAAAGGGGTCTTCACCGGCCAAAAGACTTCACCCGATACCACCTCCACCTCTTCAGAGTCCTTCACTCTCCTCCGTAAGCTCCTACCGTCAACCCGCTGCCCTTTTTTTTTTTAATGTTCATTTTCTTTTCTTGTAATTGGTTGGTTTGAATTTTCATTATTGATAATATCTACTTTTTTATGCTGAAAGATTTTTGATATTTGAGATAGTGAAGTTTTTTTTATATAAAAAAATGTAATTTAGTTATGAGAAAATAAAATTGAATTTAAAAAAAAAAAAGAAAACAGGTTATCCATTGTAGACAATAATGAGTGGGTTTGCCTTGGGGAGAATGGAAGTTTGGGACTATAATAGGATAAAAAACTCCGAATCGCAGAAAACCGGAGTTAAAATTTAAGGGGACAGATATTTTTAAACTTCAGCTGCTTTCCCTGTTTGTGGGGAATTTTGAATTAGGAGTGAGAATCATCTCTTGATAAGAAGGGCTAAAGGTGGCATCTAAGATACAATCAAGGTAGATAAGACAGGCTAAAGGAAGTTGTTGGATGCTACGACTGCTTAATATATGGTTATTATTTTTCTTGTACGTAAATGAGTTGTGTATTCACTAGAAAATATGTTATGTTGCTTGTCTTTTTCTTTTTCATGTGTACCAAATTTGTTGAGATTTTGGAGTTGATGGATTTTAGGGTTTGCGGATGAGTTGAGCAAAGCTAGGAAGGTAGGGGCATTCAAGCAGTATATAGTGGGGCGAAGTAGTGAAGCTACTTTTTCAGACGCTTTTGAAAAGCAGGAAGCTATAATTCGTTATCTAGGGGGTTTTGACGCTACTGGAGAGGTAGCCATTTGACTACTTTTCTATGTAAGATTTACATTTGCACAAGTCTTAGCAGATGGAGATTTTGTTTTTCCTTTGTGGAAACAGTTGTCATGATTTTACAGTATGGATTGAGGTCGCTCTTTGGTGTTAGGATAATGTGGGATATCTGGAATTTCTGAATATGTGGTTTCGTGGCTGAACGTCACTTACGCTTGTGTGCTCATTTTCATCATGTTCATACTTCGTGCTTTACTCTGTCAAAATTGAAATTTCTTTTAATACATTGTTATATAAGAACTGACAAAGGGAACTTTAGGGAGCTATCTGTGAATTAGAATATATGTAGTGAGTGCAGGTTATGGGCCTCTGTGATGAGGACATCTTTGGCAAACACAAAGACTGTTACACCTAAGAACACCGGATGCTTATGAAAGTAATAATTTTTCATGACAGTAATGTTTCATTTGCTTGAGAAGGTGCTATAACTGAACCCATGGAAAGGTGGCAACCACTTGATGTTGCAGAGTATGTACTGTCGGATTTTCATGCTTGATACTTTCTTCACAACTGTAGTATAACCATTGTTCTTCAATGGTGAACAGCTTTCTGCCTTATACTGGAAAAAATTGATAATGCAAGACAGTGTAGAGAAAATGCTTGTATAAAGACAAACTCTTTTCCATGAGGATTAGTTTTATGAGACTGAGATATATGCCGAAACCACAGCAAACTTCAACTCTTAAAACATGTCTAATGCTTTTCTTTATTACTCTTATCCTGCATCTGGCCAATTGTGCATATCAAGTTGTCAATGTGCAGAATTTTACAGACTTGAAATGGTGTATCTGGATCTAGTAAGGCTTATTCTCTCTATTGTAGCCCTGCCAAAACTAAACCCCTCTAGCCCCCAATCTTCACTTTAAAAGAGGAAAAAGAAACATTAGATGATTGAGGAAAGCTTGTAATAAAATGGAAAACTAAACCTCTACATACTACATAGCAGATGAACATCTGAAACTTTTCAATTGTCAAGTGTACATTCAGATGGAAACCTTGGGAACATGTAAGCTTGTAAATAGCTACTATGGACTATGTTTTTTCCCATAACCAAGCATCTGACCTACTCCCATGGTTGTCACCTAAAAATTGCGAAGCTGTTCCTGCTTAATCACCCATGGAATTTCTACTTGTTGGGTTGAAAATCAACCATGTTGTTAGGCATTTCTTTCATGATTTTTCTGATAAGTAGGTCTTGATGCTGATGCATTCTGAGTTATTGTACTGGAAAAATATTTGAAGTTGATATTGGTTCATAATTGCAAATTTTAACCAATATTTTAACTGAACAGCATACCCAACTTGGCACATCCATATCTTTTATTATTTTTGCCTTTTGAGATTGTTCATGGGGCTTTTCTTTACACACTTTTCCTTATAAAGTTATTCATTTTGTAGAATCTCCTAACAAGCCAAAAGCAAGAGGCTGCAAAGCACTGTAATTGCACAATAGCAGATGTTGAAAATGCACTGGCAAAGTTTACATGGGCTAAAGAAGCACAGAGAAAAATTGAGAAGTTAAAGGAAGAGGGTAAACCAATGCCGAAGAGTTTGGATGAGGTACTTTTTTTTCATTTACGAACAATGTTGTCTTCATTTTGCTCTGAAGAGTTTTACCTATCTTTCTTTATACATCCTGGATACTTCTGTATGAAGGGGTGTGCTTGTGCTGGCTGGGAGCCTGGTACTCTTTTCTGTGTAAGCATGTGATTGGTTAAGTTTGTAATAATGTGATCAGAAATTGTTGATTGCATTTGTTCCAGAGTCCCAGTGAGTTAACTGATGCATTCTAATTGATGTCTATGTTAATTTTATGCGGTTGCATCCATTTCAGTTTGTGTGAATTTTTTGGGGTAGCAATATTCCTATTTTTTTGAAGAGGTCTGAATTTTGTTCTCAGTTATGAGTTAAGAGCTTTTCTTTGTTCAAGGCTTCATAAGCACTGAAAGAATCCTTACAGCGGGTGAATCCAAGGTCAGCCAGCCAAAATACCTATAAAACATCTTAAACAAATAACCATGCTTGGCTAAACAAAAACAAGTGGATTTACTGAATTGCATCGCAATAACTTAATTTTGTATCTATTCCCTGGTATTCCTGACCTGACTAGTTATATATACCAAATCTCAGTTTTCACTGTTCTCCAAACAGCCTTGGGGTCTTATTTGGTGGTCTCTCAAAAATTGGAAAAGAAATTTTTGTGGTGCATATTCTTCCATCATCTTGGTGCTTGAATCCTTTGAGCTATTCAATACTGCTAATTCAGGACTTAAGAACTTGATAGTTATCGCTGGTTTTATCTTTCCTGTCTGCTTTGGCAGTTGGCTTATTCTGTCAAGTGAAGATGCTTTTCTGTTATTTGAAGTTCACTTTGTTTTTATCATGGATATTTTGTGTTTTTGTTTTGTGTTTTTTTGGTAAACTTTTTTCTAGTGTAATAGGATATAACAAGATTTTGGTACCTGAAATGTTTGATCTACTATGTCTTTTGTAACTTGTGTGAGATATACTTCACCATGGAGAAGAAGGAAAGAAGAGGGGAAAAAATTTATCTGGGAATATAGGAATTGCAAACCATTATGGCCACTCCAATCTAGTCTGTGTTGTGAGATTTCCTGAGTACATGTGTTGCATCTTACTTTTGAGGTGAAATGTTAGTTAATGCTTAAGTTTCTGTAATGTGTTTTCTTTTCAACTGAAAAGCAATTGCCTACATCTGGAAAAATTGATAGCTTAATCATTAGATAAACTTTTCCATACAAATACTTGTTCTATCTATGGAATATCAATCATTTGAAGATTTGAACAGTTCGTTTTCTAAAGGATAACCAAGGTGAATTGTGAGAAATTATCGTCAAGTGACTTTTCAAAATAGAGATGCTGTTGCTTAAAGAACAGTAGGAACATGAGTATTTATTTGTGTTGCTTGCTTATGGGAACCAAAAAAGTGCCAGATTATAGTAGTTGCTTTGGATAATACATTTATCAACTGTTCTATGATTCTGGAAGTTGGATAGTGATGTTATGAGAAAAGACACTTTGATTTGCGCATCATTTCCAGTTTTGTTGACCTGGTGAAAGGGGGGTGGGGGTGGGGAAGAGACTTTATAATAGAGCATTCTCCATTCTTTCATTGCTATGTTGATGTGATTCCTTTCATAAAATCTGCTAAAAAGATGGAGCAATTTTACCATAATCTTCCTTGATTATGAAGATTCAGAAGGCCGCAAGGTGTAGTTGATGGACAATAGGTGAATTTTATTAGTTGCCTTCGTTTATCTATAGGTCCAGAAGTTGATGGGATCAACCCCAATGGATGTTGCTCGGTCAAACTTGGCTAAGAGTGGGCAAATAAGTAGGAATGCACCTTGTCCTTGTGGGTCCAAAAAGTTATACAAAAGGTACTTCTCCTTAACTGTTGATGAATAATACTGTGTTTTTGAGAGTTTTACTCTTCATGTTGAGAAGTGGTTCAGACTTTGCTGTTTAAGTAATAAAGCACCATGATGCACTTGAGATGCTATATGAGACAGGACAGTTTATAAAAATTTTATACAGTCAAAATAATATTATATGAAGACGAGCTTCCTCAATTGGATGATTTTTTTCTTTGACAGTGTTATATTTTCTCAGTGATGCATCTTGATTTGAGGGCTGGTAGTAGCATAGTTTTCTTTATACAATACAAAGGACCAGAGATGACATTCCAGTACAGATTGTCTCAGTGCATATTATTCTCAGTTTTGATTTTTATAGCAAATGCATTATTTTTCTAGGTAAAGGAGGGAAAGATCTACTTGATGCAAGTTTTGCAAGACATTTTCAGTTGAGGCAAGGGGCATAATCCAAGTATACGTATCTAGTTTACTTGAATTGTTTCCTGGGGGAAGTTCCTTGAACAATTCAATTGCCGAACCCCGAACTTGATAGCAGTGTGTGAAGTTTAGCTTATTGTATCTTACTTTCTTTCCTAACAAGATTTGATAAATTCCAACTTTCTCCTAATGTCCAAAACGTGAAGTCGGTGTGATCAATTATATCATTTATTTTTTAACTTCATTACAACCCAAAAACACTATCTCTAGTTTACTTGAGATGTTTCCTGCAGGAAGTTCCTTAAACAATTTTATAGTTGTCCATATAAAAAATGGCCAAAACCTGAACTAGAGCAGCTTGTGAACTTTAGCTTACTGTATTTCATATCCTCACAAGTTTCCATTAATTCCAACTTTCTCTAAATATCACAATGGAAGTTGTTGTGATCAATTATACCATCTATTTTAACCTTTTTTACAACTGAAGGACACTATCTTGTGGTGTGATGTTGGCATTATCGCATAGAAAATGTTCACTGGTATTCCCATTAGTCTCTGTAGTTAGGAGCACTGTTTCACCTTAACGAATGTTCACAAACTTTTTATTTTGTTATTTCAAGGCTTATCTCTCATGTTTGCTTTGAAGGTGCTGCGGAAAGGATGGAAAAAGTTTAGGTCAAACAAAGCTATAAGTACAGAGAATGCTTCTTATATGAATTCTGGATGGAGATTTTGGAGAAAGGTAAACCTGAAGTTGATCTTTGGTAAGAATGAAGTAAAGAAGGTATCTAGACTGGATTTATTATTTCTTTTTCTGATCAGAGTACGGATGTACCTCAAATTGGCTGATCAGATGAAGTTTTGTAAGTTGCATCTTTAGAACAAAAGTGAATTAATCTTTCCACAGGAAGTGAATAACGAAGTCCATTATCCTCCTCTTGTACTGTTCTATTCTTCCCTCCTGAAAGACTGCATTTTACTCCCTAGTGAATACTTTTACCAAATTTTTCGAGAGAATCAAAAGCAAGTTGAGAAATGCATGATCTGAGATCTTCAAAGAAAGCTAGATAATGCACTAAATTGTGTTTGATGAATAGTGTCTGTTTTACGAGAAGGAACTGCTCTTCAGTCTTAAAAACTTAATCTTCTCACTGTTAATAGTGTCTGTTTTCATCTCCTCCTTTCTTCTTTAAAGTACGGTGAATGCATATAGTGTTTGATGAATGCGAGACAGCTCTCAATGAAGCAACCTAGAATATTGAAAAGATAGGCTGGACATTCTGCACTTGAAATTGTCCACCGTAGGGATTTGGCAATGGTTTAAATCCCTGTGTTTGTCAGATTTCTTGGAGGTAATGGCGATAACATTTGCACCCATAATTCCCATTAAGAAGGGAAGATTCCATCAGATGCAATATTGGAAAAGATAAACAGACAACAAAGATAGCTGGAGTATGCGAAACACAGCAGGAATCTGGGGACTACCATTTTAGCCTTGGCAAGTCCTCCATCGTAACACCACATTCAGTTGTTTGGAAAAAAAAAAAAGAAAAGAAGCAATACCTTTTCTCTAGATCACTGCATGTCAAGATTGTCATCTGAGAATGAGAATAAATTATCGTGCGTATGACTAAACGTTTTTTTTCAAAAAAAAAAAAAAAATCCTGGGCCATATAACAAACCTTTTTTTAATGTGATTAGTCCAAAATGTAATATAATTGTGCTTGATTAGATTAGTTCAAAATGTGATTAAGACTGTTAATAGGGTCGGGTCAACTCGAACTCAGTCAATTCGACCTGATAAAAAGTTCGACGAACCTAACCTTTCATTGGATTGTGTTAAGTCTAGATTTAAATGTTAGATCCGAATTAAATGTGAGCCGAGTTTGGGTCTTACTAGACTTAAATATGATATAGAATTAAATGTGAGCTGAGTTTGGGTCTTACTACACTTAAATATGATATAGGTTAAGTCCGTTAATTTGTGCCTATACATTTAGACAAAGGAACGACGAGAGCCTTAATCCCTTTGGTTTCTCACCTCTCCTATTAGTACACTAGCCTCTATTTTTCCAATCTCCGCTCCACCTGTACGATTGGCCTCTCCAATCTTCACCTCTAATCTCCAATCTCCACATCCGTAAAGCATACATTGGTAGTTTCAATGACAAAGCATTAGCTTAATCTCAACCTGAATTGATCACCATCATTTCTTGGTCTATTTTCTTCTTTCTTGTAGGTTCTTGTATGACTCATGACTCATGAGACAAATCAATTTGTTTACTTCTATTTGGATTCAAATGCTGTATTTCTGTTCAAATTTGGACACTATAAACAAAATGAGTGGAGAAATATTAGTAAGTGCAAATTGAGAAGGTTTTGGAGAAGTTCCAACCTTTGAATATGTATTGATTGATAATCATATTTTATTACTATTTTTCATGTATTTTGAACGAATTAGATAATTATTATTGAAAAATTCTTGATTTATATACTTTTTTAATGGACTATTGTTGGTTCGTGTATAGTTTTAATGTTGTGGATGTTAAATTAGCTTTACGAATTTATAGTTATAGTAATTATATTAAAGAAATTAAGGAATAACAAGTGAGTTTGGGCTAAGTCTGAATTAAACTTAAAAACCCAAATGTTTTGTAAGTCAAGTATAAGGTTCACATTTATTAATCCAAAACTCATGGTTTGAAACCCGAAAGTCTTATTAATTAGATGAGTCGAGTCTGGGTTTGTTAACGTTTGGTTCAAATGGCCCGATTGACGAGCTTAAATGTGATTTTCAACTTTTTATCAAATAGTAATGTTGAAAAAAAAAAATAAGAACAATGGGAATATGGGTACTAAATAGATTGAATGCTAAAATAATTATATAGTGGAAATTGAATGTAGAGAAATGCTTTCACTTGGAAATTATATGTATTTATGAGAGAGCGCCAGTGACCAGTGTACCTAAATTTGCAACTTTTATCGGCGCCAGCTGAGAACTGGATACAAGTATCCATCAGATGCTGTTGAAAAACATGTATTTTGTAATCCCGGACATCATGAAAGCGGCAGTAATAGGGCGAAGGGGTTCTTGGCATTGCTTCCTGGAAGAGTCATTATTTCATGCAATTTTCGGGTCACCATTTCTTGATGGTGCTGAATTTCTGCTTGGATTGATCTTCACAGAAGAAGTCCTGCATGTTCTGCACCCATTACTATTTAATCATAACATAATTGAATTGTAAATACCACACTCCGTGAACCATTTTGTAGACTGACACAGTTCCTAAATTTGATCAACTTCATTGCACCTACTCGAACGCTAAAATCTAACAACAGAACACCAAAATAATTGCTTTTTCCCTTCTGCTATGGGTACAAAAATTGTCACCCTCGTTCTATTGCCATTCTTTTTCTCCCTCCATCTCGTTCTGGCAACAACCAGATTCCCAGCAACCTCACTGGCTACAGCTATTCAAGGAGAATGGCGTCTCTTGCAGGAATGTATTGGCATATCAGCAATGCATATGCAACTCTTGCACAACAACAGAGTTATTATGTTTGATAGGACTGACTTTGGCAATTCTAATATCTCTCTTCCGGGCGGGCGCTGTCGTCGTGATCCACATGACGTAGCACTTAAAACGGACTGCACAGCTCACTCTGTTCTGTATGACATTGGCACCAATAACTTTAGGCCGTTAATGGTACAGACAGATACTTGGTGCTCTTCAGGGGCAGTCCTCGAAGATGGAACACTGGTTCAAACAGGTGGATACAATGATGGAGATCATGTTGTACGAAAATTTTCCCCTTGTGGTGGTGAAGATTGTGATTGGGTTGAGTTTCCAAATGCTCTTATGAGACGTAGATGGTATGCAACAAATCAGATTCTGCCTGATGGAAGAATAATCATAGTTGGGGGGAGAGGACAGTTTAATTATGAGTTTTATTCTCAACCTGCAACCGTTTCTTATGATCTGGAGTTTCTTAAAGAAACCAAGGATGAAGGTGAGAATAACTTGTATCCATTTCTCCATCTCTTACCAGACGGAAACTTGTTCATTTTTGCAAACACAAGGTCCATTTTGTTTGACTACCGTCAAAGCAAGGTTGTCAGGGAGTTTCCTCAGATTCCTGGTGATGCTTCCAGGAACTATCCTAGTTCAGGCTCATCAGTGCTGCTTCCTATCAACGAAAATGGTCCAATAGAGGCAGAGATCATGGTCTGCGGCGGTGCACCTCACGGGGCGTTCACGAGTGCAAGGCAGGGATATTTCATCCGTGCAAGCTCCACATGTGGTCGCCTAAAAGTCACTGACCAAAATCCTGCCTGGGAAATGGAGACAATGCCCATGGCACGAGTAATGGGTGACATGCTACTTCTTCCTACTGGAGATGTCATCATAATCAATGGTGCAAGTTCAGGAACTGCAGGTTGGGAAAATGCAAGAAATCCTGTCACAAGGGCAGTGATCTACAAGCCCCGCGCAATGCAACATAATCGGTTCTCAGTTATGGAAACTGCACAAAGGCCAAGAATGTACCATTCTTCTGCCACACTACTCATTGACGGAAGAGTGCTAGTTGGAGGAAGCAATCCACATGTATACTACAAATTTACTGGTGTACAATTTCCAACTGACCTGAGCTTGGAAGCCTTTTCTCCACCTTACTTAGCACAGCTGCATGATCCGGTGAGACCGAGGATTGTTGGAATGGCTGAAAATATAACATACCAGCGGAAGTTTTCAGTGACTTTCTCAGTCAACAATTTTCTGAAAGTGGCAAGTTTATCAGTGAGAATCATTGCACCATCTTTTACTACGCATTCTTTCTCAATGAACCAAAGAATGGTGATTTTGAAGTTTGTTGAGGCCGTTAATGTTGCCTCGAGTACTTATAGGATTACTGCAATTGGACCATCCTCACCTGAGATCGCACCAAAAGGATACTATATGCTCTTCGTGGTGCATGAAGATATACCTAGTACTGGGATGTGGGTGAACGTTGTCTAATATGTATTGCATATTATTCATACGAATATTCATGCTTAAGAAAGTACGTCCTGTAAACTATAATCTCCTTATAACATGATGTAATGGCCTGAGAAGCTATAGATTATACTGCAATAATACTAATATCAGAATGATACTAGTAAAAGATGTTTGGAGGTTGTAACCATTTTCTTAATTTCTTGTCTAAGTTGTTTGCTTGCCTTAATATAACATGACTCCAAGTTGATATCTACAATTTTGGCAAACTAAGCTTGAGAATACACTAAAATCATAATTTTAATTTAGGATTATGTATTATTTAAAGTACGAACTTCTCATATTAAGGTGTTCCTGGCTTCGTTACTCTTCTTTCTTTCTTTTCTTTTTTTTTTTTCACTTAAAAATTGTATAGTCAAAGAACAAGTAATACAGCGTTTCACCTTAGTTTTTTCCCCCCCTCAATTATACACTAAACAACTTTGATCGAGTTCAAGAAAACTTTCGAATAGTTAATGAAAAATGGTCAGAAATCCCATCAACTAAACCTTTAGAAAAAAAAAAATTAAAGGTAAGAAACCCCATCAAATTTTTTCTTTCTTTATTTATTTCGGCATTTCGATAAAGTAATTACTGAAATGGATTCTAAAGTCTTATTTTTCTGTGATGGCTTATCCAAGGTTCCATGAAACATTGATGACATTCTTGTAAGATTTAAGCTCTTGCTAGAGGCTGAAATTTTGCTTCTACATACGTTCTTAGAGGGGAGAATATATGATTTTTATTCCTTCAGAATTTTTCAGAGAAGCCAAAGGACTTCATTAGTTTGATTCAATGCATATATTTAGAGACAGGGCCTGTGTCCACTTGAATTCATTCGCTTCTACGAAATTGTTGACAAAACCTCTTGGTGTCCCCTTGTCCATACCAAAATTCCGAGAATTTTAATGTTAGTTTTTTCTGTTTTTTGAAAGATTAAACCTCAAGAAAGTGGTTTTTGGTTTAAAATCTAGTTTTGATCTTCCAATGATTAGTTGGCTACACAATCACAGCTCTACTCAGCCACCTGTTTGGTAAACACTCTGAAATGGCAATGAAAATGGGTATCAAAAAAGTCCTCAATGATAATAGATTTTGGTCATTCCCATTTCACTTGTTGGTAATTGTACCGCAATGGCAATGTATTGTATCATTGTCACGATGTTTGCTTTGTTCTTCTATTTGGTCTAAACCAACAATTTTGGTACTCCGTAATTAGCTTTGGAAACTCCATTACTATCTTTTCATGAATCAAAATGGTTTAAATGACTTTTATAAAAGGAAAATTTGCCAAATTGGTCCTCGCATTTTGAGAAAAAAACTTTTTTAATCCTTCACATTAATTTAAAATCAGTCACAATTTGTCCCTCAGATATAAAAAAATGTCCACCTGATTGATTTCAAAACTCATTTTCGCTTACTTTTTCAGCCAAAAAGTGCACACCTCTCTCTTCCACCCATAATTTCAAGGGCAAATGAAAATACACTTTATTTCCTCTTTTTTTTTTTAAAAAAAAAAAGAAGAAATGTAAACCACCAAACCCTTTTTTTTAAAAAAAAAAGAAGAAAATGTAAGTCGCCAAACCCTTTCTTCCCCCTTTCCCCTATTTTTTCAGCTACCAAAATCCTAATTGTAAGCCACCAAGCCTCTAATCAAAGAAGAAATTTTCAGTAGGGTCACGTGCAAGTAGTAGAAAAGAGCAAGAAAAGATATAAAAGGAATTCACTCATTGAAGAGTACAATGGAAGCAAACAATTTTTAATGCTATGTGACAAAGAATCCATGATTGTGACTTCTTGGAAACCTGCAAATGTGGGAGGGAGATTCTATAGCTGCCCAAATTATGGAGCAAGTTTGAGCATATTTCATTTTGATTGTCTTGAAAAAAACTTGTTCTTGATATGGGGTGAAAATTGGTTCTTAATATGTGATATTCTTGCATTTTAGGTGAATCGTGCTTGTCGTTAGTTCAAGTGGTATGATCCTCTATTGTGCAGTAAATTGCTATCAATAATATTTGACTTGTTAAAAACTATCAATCGGCCAATGTGTTTCTTAAAAGGTTTATATTTAGGGTTTTGATGGATGATGTGTTCCTTAAAAGGAAACGAAGTGTGTTTTAATTTTTTGTCCTTGAAATTATAGACACATGAGAGAGGCGTGGGTTTTTTGGGCAGAGAAGTGGGCAAAATGAACTTCGGAACCAATTGGATGGACTTTTTACATCTGAGGGACTATAGTGAACGATTTTGAACGCGAGAGACTAAAAAAGTTTCTTTTTTCTGATAGTGTGAGGAACCGATTTGGCAAATTTTCCTCAATAACAAAATTGACCTTCTATACCTAGTCTTTTTAACTTCCTGTGTAACTGTAAAATGAAAAAAAAAAAAAATGATGAACTAAACGGTCACGACTATGTGACTATGCTGTGCGTTGATCGACTAAAATTAATGATCTCACTCTTTATTCTCTATATCTTTCACTTGCTAAGTCCAATGCTCCTAATCTGTCGCAAAAAAATGTCCCAATCTACTATTCCATTGTTTAGCATTACAATCCGTAAATATGTTTGTGTTTTATGAACAAGTTCATTTAGCTGTGTGTTTATTGAGCAAAAAAATCTCAGTTAAGCATTGTAATGTGATCTTGCTATCAAAAATTCAAAGAAGGATCATTTATTAGAACAGGACACTTGATGTCATAATAAAACAGCTATTTACTCAATTTTTATTAGTTTAGATTAAAACAGAATACACTAGCTTTAGATTCTTCTAAAGTAATAGGATAAGGTTATTTTGACAAGAATCCATATCAACAAGAAGTCATTTTCTGTTCCAAAAAAGTAAAAACAAAATAAAGAAGTGATCTATTTCATGTTCCTTACTCCAACACTCAAAATTATTGTTTTCAAAATGTATGGTAAAAATGCCTTTCCATGTGTTGGCTATTTTCTCTTTGAAAAATTGTGTGGACGTAGATATTTCTACTTAATTTAAGGATCCTGAATAATATGATGATATATTGTCTTCAAACTAGTATAATTAGAAAACATTTTTGTCAAATTTCCCATATTCATGCATATAAAGGTACACACACACACAAATTATGTATACACATTTTCATTTTTTTTTTGAGTCAATCTTATATGCACTGACATTGTATGCACTATCGTGATTGGATGCACTACATATATGCAAAATTTAGATTGCAAATTCAAATTCAAATTATGTGTCATACATTCAGTGGTAAAAGTATACAATATATTATTATCTGTGTACAGAACATTAATCCCTTTTTTTTTTCTAATGGAGTGCATATAATGCAGCTCAACCTAAAACAAGAGTTCTATTGATAGTTTTAGAAATTCTGTAACTTTATCCAGGAAAAAGAGGTCTTATTTACTCTGAAATGTTGTTGAAATCAGTTTCAGCTAAAAACTTTTAGAACATTTCAGTCTACAAAGATTAATTGGTTGGCAGTTCCATCAAAAACCTTACCAAAAATAATTCACCAATGTCCACCAACATGCATTGACAAACTTCCACATGTATGGCATTGACGAAAGTGCTAAATTTACAGCACGAAATTTGTAACTAAACAATTTTTCAGCCAAACCCAAAAAATAAGAAACAAAAAGAGAGAAACAAAATGAATTGTATTTGTTCATGTTTAAATTTTCATGTACAATGCACTATTTTGAAGTACCCAACTGTGTCTTGGTATTGATTGCAAGTTAAAGGAAAAGAAAATAGGAAAAGAAAAGGAAAAGGTTTGCATTATTTCCTGTTGCTATTGACTTCTAGTCTTCCCTTGGGTCCACCCTGGTAGTGGGTTCTCTTTAGTCTTTACTTTCTTGATTCTTTTCTTGATCGCTGAAGTTTAACCAAGGCATTGAGGCAATAAGGAAGGCTTCCCTGGCATTTTTCTGCAGATTGTAAGAATTAAAGATTTGCATCATTGATGTTTCAATTTTGGTTCTGTGAATTTGAATTGCATTTGCAGATGGTTTTTCATATTTGTTTATGCATGCATGCATTTGATGAATGAGTGTGGCATGAAATGGTCTGATCATTGTTACTACTTAAAAAAGGGTGAAGATTATTAAGTACGGAGCAAAAAGATAGAGAATTTGAAGCAACTTTTGAACGAGAGACGGATAATACTTGAATGGCAATGCTGCTCAAAAAATCTTAATTCATGATTTTCCTAATTGACAGCCTTGAGGGTTTAAATTGTAGCCATGTTTCTTGAATTCCTTCTTACTTGATTTTGCTGTCAATAGTTGGAATGCATGTCTTCTGATGTTTCCTTAATTGCTTGCACATCTTCTCCTTTTCCACTTGATTACATGTACTACTATATTCCATTTACTTGTGTATATGCTGTCATAACTCATAAGTATATGGTCACAAACGCAGATATGATTTTTTTTTGGTTCTTTACAACATGAGAGTAAAAATTTTACTTGTCTTAATGATTCAGTTCCACTCTTTCTGGTTTTTTTTTTTTTTAATAATATTTTGCATATTCTCGAATCTTTCTGACATTAAAATAGGGTTGGAATCTAGCAGATGACAAGGCCTGCTTTAAACTATTTGGTGGGCATATTCTTAATTCTTTCCTCTTGAAGTACCATGTTCTCATGAGAAATTCAAAGTTAACACCCAGTGCGATAGCAAATTTTCTGTATACTCTGTAATAACAACAATAACATGTTCAAACTCAATTTGCCTCTTGCTATTACTTGATCATATGACCAAGTTTTTGCAATTTCTTTTGGTTGCACTAGCAGCACTACACTGTTACTGGAAACAACATAAGCATGAGTAGAGTTCAAAAGGTGAACAGGAATGATGAATGCTCTGTTATTGGAGACAAAGGTGAGATCAGCTTTATCGATTTTGAGCTTGATGGTCCTGTTTGCTCTGATGACCAAAATGAAGAGGATCCAGTGATAATCTCAACTCCTTTTCCCTTTACCCGAGGGAAGCCTCGGTCTGCTTTTGTTGGGGAGACTTCTTATGATGCAGTCACTATAACTAATACAACTAGAGAGCCTGTGCCACTTTGGGGAGTGAAAATTTTTGGTTCAAACCCTGCAGACTCGTTCACTATATCACTGCTGAAACCACCTTCAATGGATTCTGATGATGAATACATTAAAAGGTTTCTGGAGGGATTTTCTCTTGAAGATAGAACCCTTCAGCCAGAAAAAACGCTCACCATTTGGTTATCTTGCAAACCTAAAGACATTGGATTGCACACAAGTATAGTGCATTTTGATGTAGGGGATGAAAGGATAGAGCGTGTGATATTTCTCTTGGCTGAGGACAAGGTTTCCCAGTCTCTGGCTTCAAGGAAGTCATATGCAAAATATCAAAGAAATAGACAATCTACTTCTGAAACATTTGCTAGATATCCTGCAAAGAGATCCAGCAGAGGGTGGAAATATAAGCTTCGTCAGTTTGAAATGCCAGAAGGAACTAGGAAGTTATTAGAAGATAAGCAAATCCCTGCAGTTATATTAGAAAACTTAACGAAGGAGAATTATGCTTCTTATTTCGGCACCTTACTATACATGGAAGAGCTACATTTGGAGGTAACTTTCATTCAGTTATAAACATTATGGCTCTCTCGTCTCCTTTCTGTTGGTATAAAGTTATAAATATTTTGCAAACAGAAAGAAATGAGGAATTACGACATGCGGACTGTGGAACTGAGACGAAGGAAGGGTAACTTAATGGCTATTGAGGTCCCTGGGCTGGCAGAGAGAAGGCCTTCACTTGTACATGGTGACTTTGTATTTGTTGGGCCAGCCTACCAGCAGAGAAATGGTCTTAATTTCCAGTATCAGGTTAATTTCTTTTTGCAAACATGAAAATATGTAGGGGCTAAAGTTCTGAACTCTACCACTTCAGAAGTAGCAAGCACTTCAAAATTTTGGATTCCCAAACTTCAGGTTGCTCTGTCCTGGTTGAGTTTAAATTACATCTCGTATCAAGTTCTTCTAAGTTATTTTATCTAGTCTCATGAAGACATCATGACAACTTTAGTTGGATATACATCACCATTTGGTGTAACAGATGATACGTTTCTAGAACCATACCGCTGTTTTTGCCAAAGTCAGTATTTGGTTGGCATAGTATAGTGATTATATTTGGGTTCATGTAGTTAAATATGATCCTAGCCTCATAAGCTCCTGAACCTTGCTTCTTGAAAAAGTTCGTGCTTTGGATGATATTTTTCCAGAAACTAGCTCTCAAAGCACTGATCTCCCTTGTCATAATTCATCTCTTAATAGCTGTTGCAGAGTTTCTTTGATTACATTAGAAGACCAGGGCTAGATAAATTTTCCTATTTATGCAAAGAAATATTCTTGAGCTTTTATTCAAAGGAGAAACTCTAAATAAAAAGCAAAGGTTCTAATTCTGAAATCCTATGATGAATTTGATAACATGAAAATGTTTCATTAATCTTCTTGGTGGGCTACTATATTTATTAGTAAATTATCCAGTTTGCTTGGTATCTGTCATCCTTCTTTTTATGCCTTCATTTATGTCTTGTGCCTTCAGCTACAATTCATAGGGAGTATCAAAATTAGGTAAGCACCATATGCAAGATCGTATTCTTCTCTTTAAAGCATTAGATAAGAAATTAGATCAAAATATGAATTATGTATACTTTCAGGGTTCCATCTACCGGATTGAGGCTGATGAAGTTCTTTTGAAGTTTGGCAAGGACTTTCACATGCAAAATCACCCAGGGAGTTTTTATAATATTTGGTTTACTTTCAATAGGATAAACCTGCAGAGATTACATCAAGCAGTTGAATCTGCACAATACCTGGACATAGATTTCCTGTTCCCCTCCCAACTTAAAGAACAGTCAAGTAATGGGATGCCAGTCACGCCTTTTACAAGTCTCAATCAGCAGCAGCTGCAAGCTGTTGAGAAGATCCTTAGTTCTGAAGGGGCACCTCCTTATGTCATCCATGGACCTCCAGGTACTGGCAAAACAGTGACTTTGGTAGAAGCAATCCTACAACTTTATACAACAAGAAAGAATACCCGCATTCTTGTTTGTGCTGCTTCAAACAGTGCAGCCGACTACATTTTAGAGAAACTTGTTCTCAATGGAATTGTTGAAGTAAAAGATAAAGAGATCTTCAGGCTCAATGCCACCAGCCGTCAATACGAAGATGTTCGGCCAGATTGCATTCGGTTTTGCTATTTTGAGGACTCTATTTTCAAATGTCCTCCTTTGGAGGCCTTAATGTGTTACAGGATCATCATCTCTACTTATATGAGTTCATCTCTCCTTTATGCAGAAGGTATAAGTTGTGGTCACTTCTCCCATATATTCTTAGATGAAGCCGGTCAAGTTTCAGAACCAGAAACCATGGTACCTATGTCCAACCTTTGTCAAAGGGAAACTACTGTTGTTCTTGCAGGAGACCCCAAGCAATTAGGCCCTGTTGTATTTTCCAGAAATGCAATGACTTATGGCTTGGGAAAATCTTACTTAGAAAGACTTTTTGAATGTAACTGCTATTCACATGGGGATCCAAATTTCATCACGAAATTAGTTAGTAATTATAGATGTCATCCTGCAATTCTTCAACTCCCCTCAAAACTATTCTATGAAGGGGAGTTGCTTGCATGCAAAGAAGATACTTCTTCAGCAAAGTCTTGGCTAGGTATTCTTCCTCGTGGAGAGTTTCCTATTCTCTTTGTTGGCATTCAGGGATGTGATGAGAGAGAAGGGTACAACCCCTCATGGTTTAACAGGATTGAGGCAAGCAAGGTGGTTAACTTGATCATAAAGCTGAGAGCCTTGCCAGATCTAAGAGAAGGAGACATTGGTGTAATAACACCTTACCGTCAACAAGTGGTTAAGATTATCAATGTACTTGAATCAGAAGATATATTTGGCATTAAAGTTGGGAGTGTTGAGCAGTTTCAGGGACAAGAGAAAGAAGTTATAATTATCTCTACAGTCCGGTCAACTAGCAGACACAACGAGCATGATAAAACGTTCAGCCTTGGATTCCTTAGTAATCCTAGAAGGTTTAATGTTGCACTTACACGTGCAAAATCATTGCTTGTCATAGTGGGCAATCCACACATTATCAGTAAGGTACTAATGCTAGATTAGACTTCCTCATTCTTTTTTCAATTGCTTCATCTGTACTTCTACTAGTTCTTACAGTTTTTGTTATACTCTCATGCCTTTGGATAATGTGCATAACATTGATGGTGTCAGATGTGTTAAAAATCAAACATTTGACTAGTCTCTGGTCATCAAAGCCAAGGAAATCATGCCGAGTGTCTGGTCTGTCCTTTTCTGCATACATTTAGGGTTCCCTTCTGCTGATACCGTCTGGCGAAAAATGCCTTAAGAAACAACAGAGCACCACTATCAGATAACCTGGATGTGATGTACTTGTTTCTATGTCAGTCTTGTGATCAGCTAGAATTTAGTTGGAATTCTAATTTCTTGCTTAGAGATTTCAAGAAGAGGAAATAGATATAATTTGCAGTTCTCCAACTTTACGAACCTCAAAAAACGGATATCCAACAATTGTGTCTAACGCAGCTTCATGTGAGTTTTACCAGCTGTTAAAATCTCAAAGCCAAAAAGAAACATGGTATTAGCACTTATGGTCCAACTACATATATAATGCCTCCATGCAGGAGATACTTTAGTTCACTTACAAAGTCATACATTTCTGTTTGTGTCTGTGTGTCTGAATTTTGTGCCTGCTCCAGGACTGTTGACTGACAAAGATATACAGATTTATGGACTATATAGAGATCTTGGGAGAAGAAAAGCCAGAGAATATTTTTGTACTCTTATATCTAATCAACTTATGAACCACATCATGGGCTTGTGTATCAGTTGCCCTATTCTTTTTTATACCTTTGCTTTTGGAAAATGCATAGGACATAAATCGATTCGTTGAATTATGTTGGTATAATCACCTCAATCCCCCAATTGAATCCGGAGCACATAACTGGTAAAAGATTATTTTGATTTCTGCATGGTTTGTTTTATTTTGATCCTTATTCTGTAGAATTTGTCATCAGAAAAAACGTGTGGAGCTCTAGGAAAATTTACCACTACTCTTGACACATATATGCTAAAGCAACCTTAGCATGCTATTCTCCTGACTTTGAGAAATTTCTGATCTTAGCTAAGGCAGAGAGTAAGTAAATAAATTAATCACATAAAACCACATCTTCAGTTTGTGTAGTATTCCTGCCATGTTTTCATTTCATCCTAAAAGCCTTCTTCTTCATAGAGTGCTGCATATAAACAAGAAAAAGGACAGCTAAACTTCCAAAACAGGTACTACATCTTATGTTCAACATATTGAGTTTCAAAGTAGTAGAGCTGTATGACATGTGAACAAATTGCACCGCATGACGTAAACACAACTTTGTAAAGCCAGTAAGTTGTACATAGATCATATCAGTTGCTTTTCTGTTGCAGGATCTTTATTGGCATAAGCTTTTTTGGGTTTTGCATAGATCATATCTGTTGCTTTTCTGTTGCAGGATTTTTATTGGCATAAGCTTTTGTGGTATTGCAAGGACAATAATTCCTACCAAGGTTGTCCTTTGTCTGAAAGAGAACTTGATATGGTGGAAGACCTAGAGCCAGAGCACTGAATCAGAGTTTGTGGGCTCATATTATGAACAAGCAATCCTCTATATCCAACAGGTTTCACATATGATTTCATTGAACTCAATAAAACAGCATGTGGATTTAAGGACTCCCTCAGCCAGATTTTCAAGACCTTTTACTTCATTCTCTCTCGCTCAGCATGTGTATTACTGATTAATATATGGTTTTGGAGACCATGAAAGTCTCGGGTCATGAGTTTGTATTTACATCCTAGTCCAACATTGATAATTCAAGGTTGTATTTTTGAAGTTTTTCTGCTTTCTGCTACTGCTTCTTGTCACACCTCCTGTTAAAAGTACTGCAAGCGTTGACAGCGGCCAAAGCAAGTGCTGTAAATTGATCAGTTTTACTCTCAACTGGTCCAGTTTATTCCAAACCAGTATACTTATGGTACCTGTGGTATTCTATCTATTATTGTACAAAAGGTTATAGGATATCTCCTTGAAGAACTAGTTTGAGAAAGTTTAAGGAAGAAAAGAAAATTTGCGAATAATGGATCAGAAGAGGATATCTCCTTGAAGGACTAATGAGAGAAAGTACAAGGAAGAGAAAATTTACAAATAATGGAATGGAAGATAGGACCTAAGTGTTAAAATACCATAAGAAATTGAATTTACAACTAAAGGAAAGAATTTCACTTCACACTACAAAAACATGATTGGCAACTCATTTCCTTGTCCGAAAAAAGGGATTGGCCAATCTTTCCAAAACAATTACCTTTTAAAAGGCAAATTGGCTGCCATTCCTTTTTTTTTTTTTTTTATAATTTTCTTCTCCCCATCATCAGAGTTGTTCTTCGCTTCAGCTGCCTTCTCATTTAGCGTAACAAGGGCGTTTTGGGCAGCCAATCTGTGCCATTTTCTTCCGATGATTCTGAGCTGATCCCACGAGAACACCATCAACATAGGCTTTTAAAGTAGCCAAAGCCAACTGCAAGCCAGTGGCTTTAAACTGGAGGTTCCTAAGCCTGCAGCTGACATCTCTTTCTCCAACTGATAATTTGATGCGCAAAGCAGTTTCCAGCAAATCAAAGTTGATACACCTCACAACATTCTCTGGACCAATCTGGACCTATCAGGATGCTCATTCTACTTCAGATCAACATCTGCATCTATGCCAATCCAATTCGCTGCTGAATTTTCCACCTAACAGCTGCCAGCATTTTGCTAGAGAAATCTCTATAACCTTGAATCATTTTCCGGCTCACCACCTTCAACTCTTCATCTTGATGCACATCATCATTTTGATAGTTTTAGCTGCCCTATTCTCGTCATGCAAAATTAGGGGATCAAATAACAATGGTTCACCTTCCTTTGAGTCCTTTTCAAGGAAGGGCAGCGTCCTGGAGAGGCTAACATAGATGGAGCAAACCCATCTGCTTAAATGCTTGGCTTAAGCCATTAAGCCCCAAACCAAAAATGCATACTTAAGCATCACCCTGTTGATGAAAATTTGCTGCCACATCTAAGTGAGTAACCTTCATGTTTCTGGGGATACTTGAGAAACAGAGATTGACTAACAACCCTTTCATATAAGCACCACCCAATAGCTTCACTCTTCCACATCAAAAGTCCTGGCAGGAAGCAACAGACAAAGCTTCCAGTATCTGCACATATAAGGGTTCAGATGTCAGCTAAGTAACCATATCTATGAAATTAGTGTCTAAGATATCATTACACCTCTGAAGCAGGGACTGAATGAACAATTATATGCCAAAACTGCACAGCAAACAAAAGATTATTGTAAACTTTATAATAAATTTCTTTGAGCACCCAAAAAACATAATATGAGTTTTCAAGACTTAAGAGGTATAAAAACAAAATTTCGAAACTAGTTCTTCAATACAAAGATGAGAAGATAACCAGTCAACATGTCAGAGTGAAAATGTCAAGCACAAACCAGGAGAAGAGAAGATTCTTGCAAGTATGAAACACCATGGCCTCTTATTTGAGGTGGTAGTTCAAATACCATATGTGCAGGTAGTTATAGACTAAACAGCCATAGCTGCCACTGGTGTTAGCAGCAGCCACACTGTTGGCAATGGCACCACCAAGGGTCACCAACTTTGAAAGATGGGTTTTACCCAAAAACATACACCCCACTCAAATTTTCGAGTAAATCTCAATTTTGACCCTAAACTTATCAAAACAGAGAAACCACACAAAATCGCCCACGACAAGGGCAATATTGGAGAGTTTTCTCCCAATCAAGCATAATTTAAGTTAAGATGTTTATTTAAACAAACAGAATGTAAATCTCAGGACAATCAACCATAACAAGGAGAAGAACATGAACTGAAGCTCTAAATCAGAATATCCAAAGCCCCTAAATCTTAACATACATGGGGTCAGCACCCAAATGAATCACGATAAGCAATCTTTATGCCTTCAGCATCCTAGTTTTCCAGACAGACTCAGACAAAATGGCCTGAAAGGAAGGGACCGAGTCAGGTCAACCAAGAAAAACCCAGGCATAAAGGTGTAGTTTCTTGTCTCCAAAATCAAAGATTTTCATCCAAAACAACCACTAAAGCTTTGAGAAACTCAGAGAAACATCATCAGTTGTTGATATTTCACAAGCAAAACAGTAGAAATTGGATTTTTTTTTTTCCTCTCAAGCATTTTTACAACAAAGGCAGAAATATTTTAAAACCAACCCAAACGATTTAACCCATGATTCTCAACCACTCCCACTTCCACAATCTCCACTTCATGTTAGCCCAAGAAAGAAAATTAACTATAGAAGAAACAAGAAGATAAAAAATTGTGAAATCATAAGAAAATTAAGAAAAGAAGGGGGATATGAAAATGTACTGGGCGTTCAGCATTCCAAAAAAAAATTCCACTTTTAAGGATTATGCGTTATGCCTTAGAATAAGTCCTTAAACTGTGGAGAAAAAGAAATGAAAAAAAAAAAAAGTGCATTGTGAAACTTCAAACAACTAGAACAAGTCTTCTATTTATATATTTACACATCTACAGCCCAAAAAAAATCATTTGCACAACTATAAACCAAGAATATCAGCCGTGGCAAATCGAAGAATTGAAGCAGAATAGGAGGGACTTCCTTGGAAGAGCCTACATCAACACAAATTTGCACACACAAATATTTAGATCAAGCAATCACATTCTGTAAGGTGTAAATTCACCTTTTGAGGACCATCCCGCATGCTAAGTTTGACATTCTGGACTTTAATGGACAGTAGCTGCTTATGTTCCTCTATATCCTTCAAAACTGAGAGAAGATTTCCACGATAAACTTCACATCTTCGATTAGCAGATTCCACCTCTTGCATAAGTTCATGAATTTTTGTATCCATGTCTTCCTACAATATTGTGAAGAAATTTATTAAGCACAGATATTTTTCTAATCAAAATACAGAATACAACATTTTACTATGGATGCATAATTTGGAATGTATAACAACTTCTACTAGACACGAAGTGGGGAAAATACTGCAAAACATATGTTTTCTATTTTATTGAGCTTCAATATTCTATTTTTAATCTCCAACCATTCAATGTTCAAAGGTAGTTCTCCATGTATTCAAAAGCCCAAGAATATTTTGCAAATTAATTTTATGCTGATTTTAAACCTGTCAATGAGGACAACTTAAACATTTAATCAAAAAAAAAAGTCCACAGAAAATGGAGATTATTTCCAATCATGTATAAGTACAGGCATCGAGTAAAAAAGGGAAAAAATGCAAAACAATAAAGTAAAACCAAAGAAACAATCTACACTCATACCAAAACAGGATATCCAGAAAAAAGGTTGAGTGATCTACACTCATACCAAAACAAGATATCCAGAAATAAGGTTGAGTGATCAATAAATACAATTACTAAATAAGGTTAAGTGATCAATAAATACAAATTACAGCTCACAGCTTGAACTGATAAAGAGAAACTTGGGAAATAAGAATCCTTAATATAGCCAAATTACAAGCATTTCCTCAAAATAGCTGAATAAAAAGATGCAGAAAAAAAACCCATGATCTCATAAGCATAACAGCTAGCAGAAAATTGTAAACCAAAATATCCGCAGAACATAGTTTGAGATAGTACATCATGAAGCTGATATAAAATCTGGAATGATACATATAGACATTCTTAAAGAATCAAAAAGTAAGAAGGGAAAAGTAAGGAACCTTGTCTTGGGAAGAGTAAGTTAAACCAAGCAACAAATTGTTAGATGAGTTAAATACTGTAGAAGTTGCACCAAAATTCATGAACAAAGACCACCACAATACCATAAAGAACAGAAGGCTATCATCTTATCAAACTTTGCAGCAATCTGAACCTCTTGAATTTTCAAATCCCGGTCAAAACCACGCATCACTAGAGATATAAAGCAGGATTCAACTCAGCTAACCTACATTAATATCTTTAATTTTTAAAAGCCTGATCTAAATCGCTTTATTATATTATGAAAACAGAAAAAAGGAGATTCCAGCAAGGTCTGAAAAAGCATGGGATGCCTCTTGCTTGGAGCAAGAGGTAAAAGTGATTCCAATAGAAAGAAAATTCAACAAAAAAAAAAAAAAAAATTAACGGCTAACCTCAGAAAGTTGTTGGGCAAAGCTGCCTTTATTTTGATCCCGGTTTTTATGATTTGCCTGGATCCCATTCCTCCTAGAGTCATCCCTAAAACGTCCATTATTTGCAGAAATCCTCCCCTCATTTTTTGTCTCCAGGGAAACTTTCTCAGAAGCCTCTGCCAGAGCTGCCATTGCCACATTGTACAAGTCAACAGATTCTGCTCCGTCATCTACAAATTTTAAGGCTTCATGCCGTAAAGTGTTATATCGAACAGTATGTGACTCCAGGTAGCTGCTAAATACATCACTAATATGTTCTTCTAATAGAACACTGCTCTTGGCATTTCTCGTCCATCGCTTCAAGATGTAATGTGATGGAAGAGTAAGAACGTTTGTCACCCTAAAGACTGCCAATACATGTCTACAAAGAAGGCCAGAAAACTCAAACATTCGGCAGCTACAAAAAGCTTTCATCTCTAAAACATTAAATCTGACATAGTAATCTCTGTGGTCCTCCCCAAATTTCGCGACCTGATACGTAGTGACATCTCCATCATCCTCTGCTTTGGATGCCATAAAAGTCAAAGTACCTACCAACTCCTCCTGAAATCTCGTAAACAGTTTCCTTGTGTAAAGCTCAGATGCTTGTTTCTCCATAGGAGACGGGGTTCTTAAAGTTGGTGAAGTATTCATTGTATCATAATCTGCTTTAACTTCTTTCTCATTGCGACTTTCCAATGCTTTTTCATACAATCTAAAGAACTGATTCAAATTTGTTGATGCATTCACATAACCGTCAAAATATGAGTTCATACTGTCACTACGCTGGGTAATAGACATTTCTGCAAAAAATGTATCACGCAGGTAGACAGGGACCCACTGACTACGAGCACTATAAAGTGCCTGAAGCCACTCATGATCCCTAAGTTCAAATTTATCAAGAAGAGAGAACCAAGAGGACTCAAACTCGTCAATGGACTCTGTCAAGTTTACGCACTTTTGGAGGTCTGCTTCAAAATTTGGATGTTTAAGAAATACATGGGACAATTTCTCCTGGCATTTCTTGAATATATGCCACTCGCAAAAACGGTGACGAGTGTCAGGAAGAACCTGCATGACAGCTGACTGAATTACAGAATCATGATCAGTGGTGATGGACACTGGAGGACAACCAGACATAGCCGCAAGCCAGGTCTTGAAAAGCCATACGAATGATGCTTCTGACTCATTTATCAGGAAAGCACAACCAAACAGAACAGGCTGTCCATGATGGTTTACCCCAGTAAACGGTGCAAAGGGTAATCTGTACCTGTTGGACCTGTAAGTCGTGTCAAAGGTGACAGTATCCCCAAAGTAAGTATAGTTGGCCCTGGCCTTAGGATCAGCCCAGAAGACATTGCCAGTAGAGTGATCCTCTTCTCCCTGAACTGCATAGAAGAAATTGGGGTTCTCAGCCTGCATTTGCCTCAGACAATCCAGAAGCAGCTGAATATCTCCTTCGAGACTCCTCTGACGATTATTTCGCATGTAATTTCTGCAATCAACCTCCGTGAATCCAACCTTGCTAATACCGCCATACTCCTTAATGAGAGCAGACATAATTCTGCGGGGGCCCATGCCAGCAGCCTGCAGGGTATCAATCAAGGTCTTGGCAGGACCAGAGATTTGGCGATGAGAACGGAGGCAATGGACTTGGTCTGGGGGGACCAGCTGGTGATTATGCTCTCTGACAAAGTTGGACACAAGCCATTTACCAGAGTCCTGTATCTTGACAGATAAAGAGGCCTTGCAACCCACACGGGTGATGGTCCGGGGACGCTTGATTTCTCGGTCCTTGGTGCGCTTCTCATTCAAGTTGCGGAACCCTTCTTTAGCACAAACAAAGGACCTCTGGATGATGGCCCCATCCTTCCTGGAGCGACGGGAGGAGCTGACGCGGGTACTGAAGCCAACACGCCGGGCATATGAATTGTAGAAAGCCTTAGCAGCCTCCTCTGATTCGAATTCCATCCCCTCGTAAGGTTCTAGATCAGGGTCTGCCTCAGGAATATAAGTTTCTAAAGAGGCACTGCCCTGGAAGCCACCCACAGCACCAGCACCAGCACTACTACCGGCAGCAGTGGGAGAACCATCAACCACTGGCTCATCCTCTTCCTGTTCAATATACAGGCCATCATCTTCACCTCCACCTCCTGAACCTCCCAAACCTATATCGTAGTCCATCACCTCATTCTCCATATCAGTTCTCCAGCAGGTCAGCTTAAAATGTAAAATTCACTGCACTGGCAAATCAAAACCACAAAAAATAAGTAACTGAAAAAAAAAACTAAGTACCAAGAAAATTGCAAGAATGAGCACCTTCACTGAATGCTCGAATATTCAGACAAAACTTCTATCAATTGAAAATGAAAATTTATTCAGATACATTAATAATCCCGTTTCTAATAATTCACAGAACCCAGACTGCAGAAACACAGAAAATAACTAACTAGAACACAAAATTCTTCTTTAGAGATGCTAGTTGCACTGTTAAAATTTCCAACCCAAGTAAAATCATGTTCCTTTTCTCACCCCATAGTTTCTTTTAATATTGTTTATTGTTGTTACTAAAATTCATACTAATTTATATCACCATTTTAGCAGTGAAAATCGGCACAACAAAACGCAGAGAAAATCCAAATAATATGCAGTATTCTCCTGAAATGTATTGAATTGGCAAAAAATTAAAAGCAGAGGGACTATTACCTTATAAGCTTGAGATTAAATCACAAACCCTAGATCGTCGATGATGCTAAGAATTGGGAATTTGGCTTTAGTTTGCAAGCTTTGATCTTGTTAGAGCCAATGCCGAGAGCGAGAAGAAAGCGGGAGAGCCTATAGAAATGGGGATTATACAACCCACTACAATTGGGCAAAAGCCCGGTAAAAGTCTTAGGTGGACCCCTGACTATAAAAATGTGTGGAAATTTTATTATTTTAATTGATACATTATTATTTTAATTGTGTTCTTCATTCACCGTCAAATAGAATTTAAAGGTTTTTAAATTCGCCTGTAAAAAACAACTGAAAATAAATTATGAGAGAGATAGATAAAAAAATTTCTATATCTGATAGATATATTCATAAAAATAACAAACTATCTTTTACTTTTATATAATATACAGCATATATGACGTATAGAATTTTTTTTTTTTATGATTCCATTAATGACATCAACTAAAATGGTTTTGACCTATATTACACATTTGAATGTAACTCCCATCACAAGCAAGAAGTTGGAAGATTGAGAGTTTGGATATCTCCGTTTGGATTTGGTTGATTAATGGTTGTGTTAGTTTGACTAGACCGGTGATTCAGAGGGATAGTGGATACAACTTAGGGCCTAATGAACAAATTAATGATGAGCTTGGCCTAATGATGAACTTATCGAAATGGTCTACGCCACTCTCTTTGGTCTCCTCCACCCCTTCTATGGAAAGATAAAATTGAAAAGAGAATCAAAGCATAGACTCTAATAACCCTTTTTTCCCTTTTTCTATTGGATTAGTGGTCAAGTGCATAATTAGGACTGAAAAATGGACCAAACTATTCGATACTCGAATCGAGTTTGATTTGATATAGGCCTGTCAACGGGTTGGATTTGGGACGAAATTGAAAATTTCGGACCCTAACCCATTATAATGTACCGGTTTTGGATCCGATCCGTATCCCCGACGGGTCTTGTGCTTAGGGTCCCGGAACCAGGTCCGATGGGTCCCGGGTCTGCCTCGAAAAAATAAGACCAACAAAAATAATGTATTTAAAAAAATTATTGTATTTAGAAATATTTTATTATATTTATAAATATTATTGTATTTAGAAATAAGGCCACAACAAGATTAGGATTTGTTAATTTGGTAAAAGAATAATTATTGAATTTAGAAATATTTATATTTTATAATTATTAAAATATTGTCCTGGTTCGGGTCGGATATGAGTCAGAATCCTATATTTTGTATCTGACCTTTTTTGTTGTTAGAATAAACGGGTCTGAATCTTAGTAACCGATTTATTTCTCAACCCGTACCCAGAAAAAACTATTGGGTCCGGATCCAAACCCGAACCGCTGATAGCCGTAGTTTGACAAGAGTTTGTTCAAACTTGGATTGCCAATTAGTCAAGTTAAATTTGAACAATATTTTATGTTAAATAATATTCAAATTCGATAAAAAATTCATTCAAATTTCATTCAGCGAATAAACAAAAATAAGTTTAAACAAAACTTTGAACTTGTTAAAATAATCAAACAAATTTGAACGCTAGAGTGTTTGATTTAATTAGATTCGTTTACACCCTATACATAATTGCCTCTTTTTTATACAACTAGTATATGAAGGATTTAAACATAGTACTTCGCAGTGATAGTTGTGTTAATCAGTACTGTTAGCACGCCAATTCTGATGGTCGACGTATGCACCACTCGTCAAAATGAAATCATGATTATGTAAAACAAGGTTGGACTTGACTAAGTGTTCTTGCAGTGCACAGCAGAGACACATTATCTATAAATTTGATTGATTGATTATTTGTTTATGTATGGCAGTACTGAGTTGTACAACAATATATAACGTTCCATTTGACTTAAAAGGCTAGCATATTCCTTGGGAGACCTTTCTTTAACCACTCTTTGTTCTGCAACCATTTCCTCCATTTTCACATTGTTATGGACCTTTCACGCATCACGCTCCGTCCATTCAGGCTGTCGGACGCGGATGATTTACTTCTGTGGGCAGGTGATGATCGAGTGACTCGGTCCATCAGATGGAAGACTCTGGCATCAAAAGAGGAGGCATTGACCTTCATCGGGGAAGTCTGTATACCCCATCCTTGGCGTCGTTCGATCTGTGTCGACGATCTTTCGAAGGGTTTTGTATCAGTTTTCCCTGGATCAGGGGATGAGAGATGCAGAGCAGACATAGGATATGCTTTAGCAGTTGAATATTGGGGCCAAGGCATCACTACTGAGGCTTTAAAGTTGGCTGTTCCTCAGGTGTTCAAGGACTTCCCTGAAGTTTTAAGGCTCCAGGCTTATGCTGCTGCGGAAAATATAGCCTCGCAAAGGGTACTGGAGAAAGCTGGGTTTCTGAAGGAGGGCACATTGAGAAAGTATAGCTATCTCAAGGGGAATTTATGCGACTTGGTTGTTTACAGCTTCCTTTCTACAGATATCAATCCATCAGTCTAATTTTCATTTTCTGGGTGTTCACACAAACGCTGTCCTTTCTCAAATGCCAAGGAATCTCGTTTGTAGTAGCTCATTCTGAAGCTAGCCTTTGTTCGACCTATAGCCTACTGTTAATCAAGCCTGTCCGCCTAAACTTTGTTTATCCGGAAAAATCCACTTTTCGTTCCTAAACTTTGAAATAAAGATACATTTCGTATCCAAACTTCTAGACGCATTACATTTGGTATATGAATTAATTATTTTTTGCCGTATTTTATCCAAAAATGGTAAATTACTTGATATGGATGGAGAAAATCACGTGTTTAGCCCATACCTGTTAAATAAAAATAATTTCTCGATCAAAATCATCGACTTTTTCCGTCCAAATTGAATATTTTACCCTTTTTGGATTAAATGTGATCCAAAATAATTAATTTATATACTAAATATGGTGCGTCTAAAAATTTTGGAACGAAAGTTTAAGGACGAAAAGTGAACTTTTCCCTTTGTTTAGCCAAAAAAAAAAAAAAATTACCGTTGCAGCCTATAAAAAGTTTGGGGTTTTATAACCAATCCGCGTGCATTCTAGTAATAAAAACTTCAAATATTTTCACTCTTGTAAGTTTTGCATGCACCAAGGGAAAGGAAGAGCTACGCAGGCTGAAGCCATGTAAATTTCTCCCTTTCTCCCTCCAGGCTCATACATGGGGTGGAGTTCAAGTCAAGACTTTCTCCAGGCAAAAAAATATACATATATTGAGCATGAATTTTGGAATAATCAAATAACTTTAACTGTACAAAAGGGCTCAGAAGACTTTAGATTCAATTGGTTTAACAGATTCCAAAGAACGTACATCAGTAGCTTGATTCTGATGATGGTCAACCTCACCCTGCTCATCCATCTGAATTTCAGTATTTTCAGTTGACCCAGATGAAGCGCTGTTAGCATCATCATCAGAATCACCTACAGAATTTCTATCATCAGAATCATAAAGATCTGTGGCTTTAATTCTGACACGCTTTCCCTTGATATATCTATATACCCACTTTGGTGGTGGATATTTCTTGTTCAGCTTTTGGCACTTGTCCATCATACCAAGCTTCTGAAACACATCTCCAATCATTTTCACAATTGACCTAGTAGGTGTTACTCCAAGCTCTTCCATGTCAGCGAATACCTATGTTTAATACAGGAGCTCGTAAAGGCAAAATCCCTTTTAGATGTAATTAGGAACTGGAGAACTCCACAAAGCAAATATTTTCAGAAAGGAATGCAAGACAGCAACTCAAGCAAAGCAAATGGCATCCAAAGATCTTCTGAGTGAAAGGTTATAAAGGGTATCAAAATATTAGCAATGAAGTATAAAGTGACATAAGTTAAATGATACAATAGTATGTCTAACCTTGTATGTTTGCCAAATAAAGTTGGTCCATTACATGAACTAGAAATGGATGTTGACTTCTAAGTAATGTTCCCAGTTTCAAGCTCATGCAGATTTAGGAACTGAACTAACTATATTTGTTGGTTTCAATGCCAGGTCTATACGCTTTCACAGGCCAAATGCAAAATGAGTTGAATAAATGTGAAAAACATGTGTGAGTGTGGTGGTGGTTTTTTTTATTGGAGGGGGGGCAGGGGGCAGGGGGCGGAGAGAGAGAGGAGGAGATTCCACTGAACTAAAAAGGAAAAAAGGCACCAAATGATGAATGCAAATGAAAAAAGCAAAAATGGTACCTCAAACATCTTGTCATGCATTTCCCTGCGATAGTATATGGATACCATTTTCTCAAAGAAAAGACGAGGCATGCTTTCCAGATTTTCGGAGAATAACTTAGTCCAGAGTTCTTCAGCCTCATCAAGCCTCCCATCCTCAGCCAAAGCATTAAGCAACGTGTAATAGGTTCCCATGGTCCTTCCTTGACCTTTGCTTAGCATCCACTTTGTGACCTGCAATCAAAGGGGTCCTATTAATTTGTTAATAAGATAAGGACACCAAAAACCCTTGAAACAGCAGCAAGGGCCACTGGATTCATATTACCTGAATTATTCTCTTCCATTCCTTTTCATTTTCAAGGGTCTTTAAAGCTTTCTTAACTGTAATTAGAGGGAACTCCAGTTCCCAGGCAATAAATGAATCGAGAGCACCGTAAACTTCTTCCTTGACGTTCGATAATCCCTTTATCTACAAGGATTGTTAACAAAAAAAGTTTTAAGTGGTTCAATTCTGGCTTCGGCTGAAAAAAAAAAAAGGAAATCACAAGCCATAACACAAGAAGCATTCTGGTGACTTTGCGAAACCATGAAGGGAACCTCATGAGAGCTGAGGAACATTCTAGACTATAAAGATTTCATTTAATTCGAGCACAAAGATACATCATATCTTCCAGTTTGATATACTATCCTGTCGATAAAATAGTCTTTTCCTTTCTCCAATACTGAATTACAGTATAAGTCATTTAGTTTCAGTAAGTCCCTAGAAGAAATCAAGAATGTGTGATTAATTACATAGGTAAACTTGGAATATCATAGAACCAATACCAATTATCTAAGATAGAATTCCCTAAAATTTAATTTCAGCCTATTCCAAGACAGAAGCATTAGGAATTTTCCAGTCAAAATGTATGGAACTTTATATTCACGCTCAAAACTGTCCTAGCTGGACTAGCATCGAAGTTCCATGCATTGCGCACAGAACAAGACTCCAGATAATGGTTTTCCTTTCAATATGTATTAAAAACTTCTTTCTGTTTTCCGGTCAGCCTCAAAATGGAATGGCTAGCTCAGGTATGAAAATTATAGTTTCTGAAGCTGTTAAAAATCTTAGTCATAGCTATCATATTTTTGACAAAAAAAAAAAGGTAAACCATTAGCTTCTTCCATATGCAACAGTCCAACAAAACTCAAAAGTGGTATGCAATAAAAGAGTACCTAAATCACATTCTAGAGAGGCAAAGAGAACTTACACATTCAACAAGTTTTATAGACTTGGAGATAGTCCCTATTTTCCTTCTGGTTTTCCAAACTCTGGGATACCTTGGTCGAGGACCTTTAGCAGCACATACCTGAGGTATATTAAACTGTATTAAGCAGAAGACAGAAAAATACAAAGTTCTCACAATGACAAAAACCAGAATCAACTCATCTACCTTCATAACCTTTTTCACTTGCAAGTTTCAGTTTGATCATTGTCTCTGTACATATTCCAGCCAAATTATAATTAAATTTCCAAAAGCGATGCAGATGATGTTGACTGACATGTGCCTATGTATAATCTGAATAAAGACATACGAGGCGCCAGTTTTGTCTAATGCGATAGATAGATATATACTTATATTTTTTATGATCATGAGAGGGAACATTATGAGTCAGGTGGACCATACAGTTGACCACTACCACACAAAGGTTGTAGCTTACTAGAACAGTATCCAACAACAAACATATTTTGCCATGTACAAGGCTACGCTATAGGATAGCTTATGAGAAAAGATAAATAAGAGATTATAGATCATTAGTTTAATAATAGCTTTTAAGCTTTAAATTCAGCAAACTCATCAAGAGAAGTGCCATATGATATCAAACAGGTGATGTATATAAATCCCCTATCTGAGAAATTGAGATTAACTTACAATGCTTGTAAAGATCGGCTGAATTAATATCTTGGGCCCTTCTGAACCAAAATTTTACTTATTCCTTTAATAAAAATCTTATTAAGGTCCATAAGTATTTATCTGCAAGTTAATGATATCCAGGTCCGTTTCATCTGAGCAGTAACATATTGTGCCATGGAGATAAGGTTCCAAACAAAATATGGAAGAAAGAAGTGTTCCATTAGCATACTAAAAATCTACAGCTTTGACTAAAATCATATAACATCTTATGCAACAAACAAGTTCTGAATTACCAGTTAGTGAAAGAGCAACACCTAAGATTTTGGTCATAGTAGGGGAGAACAAAGAAAGACAGGTCCATCTAGTATTTTGCAAATAATCTGTCAGACTGCGAACATTAACGACCATCTGAGTTATGACTCAATCGAGTCAACTTCTTACTCACCCTACAAACCATATTCCTAGGATAAGCAGGTAACTATAGTGGATAACTTTATTCCAATTGTGAAGTAGGAAAACCATATGAATCAATCTCTGTCACTAATTTGAAGCTCCTTGTATATACAAAAGCAGGAAAATTAACCATTGAGCCAATTCTAACACCTGACCAAATAATGAAGCAAAGAAATACTGCAGTTGTCAAAAAATAAGTCCTACTGTTAGCATTATGGAAAAGGTCCTAATACAGTGCTTGAAAACATCTAGATAGAAATCTTAAACTGTTGAAAGTCAGATGCTTAAAAGCACTGTCCTATATAGTACTATACATTATCCAGAATGTCACAGACCACTGACACCTAGAAAACTACTAAACCCAATAAAGAGTAATAAATATGTACTGCAGGGAATGGAGAAACTTACCACAACATTTTTATTCATGCGGTGAAATTGAACCGGTTCCCACCATTTAGTGAAACTAACCGGAGTAAACCTCAAACAAAGCATTCTGAGAGAACACCCATAGCAGATTAGTATGAAAAGCCCATCATCCAATAATCATCATAATAAGAACTCTGAATGCAACCTATTAAAGTTTCCTTCTTTTTTTAACAGTTACAATCTTCACATTATTTGAAAGCAGATAAATTTAACAAAAGGGAAAAACTAAGAAGAGTTAGAGAATATTTCTCTGCTTTAGAGCGTCTGGGATACGCAGGGAGGGTCCCAAACAAGACCTTCAGTTCTGCGATAAAATGCCTTTTTCTATCAAATTAAACCAAACCAGCTGTTTTCTTATTTTTATTTTTTTTGACTCCCCTGTTTCCCTTCAATTTCTGAGACCAAAAAACAAGGTCAATTCGCTTTAGGACTATTTTGCAACACTAGACTAGCATAAAAAATGGACAAAGGAGGCACAAGAAAGACTCCGAGTCTTCACTTTCTCTCTCTCTTTTCAGCCAGCAGCATCAGAAGTTGTT